TTTATTTTTTTTTTGCCTTCAAATTCTTTCTGTTCCTCCAATCCAAACTACAGTTAGTGTCAGCTACCAACAGCGATAGAGCTCAGTCTGTGTGGCAGATTTGGTTCTGCACACTTTGCACTGAATCTTAGGAAATGATCATGTCCTCTTAAAGACTAAAGGACTTCATATCACCCAATGATTGGCAGACCCAACACTTTCATTTCTCAAACACCTCAAGGACAAAAATCTCCATCATTCTCCACTAGTCTATAGGATAGAAGCCAAATTCTTTACTCACCAGCAAGGTACCATGCTATCTTTCCAACCTTATCTTCCACCGGGCTCCAGCTTGACTCTTCTGTTCCAGACTGGCATGTCTGTACCATCTCCCCCAACCCATAGGTGGGCTTCCAATGCCTAACCTTCCATCCACCATTCCCACAACCTAGAATGTCTCCTCCTCTCTTCTGTATTGACTCAAATCCTCTGTGGCTACAGGACACAGTTCCATCGTCCTTGTCACACCAGCTCTTAGTACAGTAAATGCTAATGTCCTGCCAGTTTCACATTTCCCTTGATTCCTACCAGTCACACCAATCCCTGGGACAGTGAGCAGACACAGTTCCATACCAGATCTTCAGTTGCAGCAGGCTGGCTCACAGCTCCACACGAAACACTGGAGTTGAATATTTTGACTTATGCAGTATCTCACTGCATAGATATAGTCAGAGACACCACGGAGAATTTTCTCTATGACCAGTTGTATCAAAACTTGGGGAAAAATGACTTTCTGTGGACAAATGTGAAGTTGATGAAATTTATCACTGATGCCTTCGAATAAGTTCTTCCATCTTGTGCTTCTATATCTTGCTTTCTCCCTATTTTTTTTCTTTCCAGTATGTAAATAATATCAACAGACATATTATTGTGTGCTAGTTATTTTTCTAAGCACTTCACCAGTATCAACTAATTTAGTCTTCCTAAAAACCCTTAGGGGTATTATCACTCACCCCCCCCCTTATAATTCACCCCCTTCATCTGTGACTCAGATGAGGATACTGAGTCACAGAGAGGCTAAGAAATTTATATACAGTCACACAGCTGGGATTCAAAGCTAGGCATTTAATTATGATGTTTATTGTCTTACCAATAAAATAATGTATTATTTTCTGATGATGAAAACTGTACCTGCTAAGTGTTAAAAAAGTCAGGAAATAAAGTGTAAGGAGAATATCATCCATATTCCTATCACCCATGGAAAATTAAAGATATACACACTAGCTCCTATTTTCAGGAGTTTTTGTTTTTTCTTTTAGTTCAATATTTTACACAGCTTCATCGTGGCATAATTTATATACAACAAAATTCTCATTTTAGTCATACAAAGCATTGCAGTAAATTTTCTAAGTTTTGCACATTACCACAATCCAGTTGTAGATCATTACATTATCCCAAAAAGATTCCTTATAGCCTCTGCACTCATTCCCTCCTCCCACTCCCACCCCCTGGCAACTACTACTCTGTTTTCTCTATATATTAATTTGCCTTTTCTGGACATTTCATGCAGATAGGTTCTTACAATTTGTGATATTTTGAATCTGATTTATTTTATTTAGCATAATGATTTCAAAGTTCATTATTGTGGTAGCATATGTCACTACATCCTTTTTGATAACTGAATAATATTCCATTGTATGGAATATCACATTTTGTTTATTCATTCAATCATTGATGGACATTTGGATTGTGTCAAATGAATACTACTATGAATACTCATATGCAAGTCTTTGTTTTGGTTTTTTTTTAAGATTTATTTGTTTATTTGTATAAGCACTGGGTACAGTCAGAAGCGCCGGAGGGCGAGAGAATTCACCAGAGCCAGAGTGGGGAACAGAACAGGCAGACTGACGAAATACACTGCTGAGGGGAGCAGCAGGAGGCAGGAGGGTCTGCGCACCATGTGGGACCCTCGCCCACGCCAGGGATCAAACCGGCGCTGCAGAGGCTGCAGGCACCTTCACAACCCAGCGCTCAGCCGCTGCGCCACTGAGGAGGCCCTATGTAAGTCTTTGTGCAGGCGCATTTTAATTTCTATGGATTTCTATGGGAAAGATATGTAGGAGTGGAATTATTGTCATCAGGTTTTCCAAAGTGGCTGTACTATTTTACATTCCCACCAGTAATGTATGAGAATTCTAGTTTCTCCACTTTCTGGACAATACTTGCTACTTGCTGTCTTCTTGTTTTGCATTTCCCTAATGACTAATGATATGAAGCATCTTTCTATGTGCTTATTGGGCATTTGAGTATTTTCCTTCATGAAATGCCTATTAAAAATTTTGCCCATTTTTCAGTTGGATTGCTTGTCTTTTCATAATTGAATTGCAAGATTTCTTTACAGAGTAGGTGTAAGTCCTTTTTCAGATATGTTTTCCAAATATTTTCTCACAGTCTGTGACTTTACTTTGTTAATGGTAGTCTTAATGGCATAAAAGTTTTGAATTTTGATGTCCAATTTATCAATTCATTTTCTTTTATCTCTTGTGCTTTTGGTATCACATCTAAGGAATCTTTGCCTGACCCTGACATGTTATAGAATTGACCCCCTCCTCCCCTCCCATCAGCACATCTTGGACATCTTTTAAAGTCGGTAAATACAGATCTGTAGTATATTTTTTCCTAGCTTTGGCTTCTGGAAAGGAGGGTGAAAGGGCTAGACTCAAAAAATATCCCGGATGACTCCATTTATCCTTGGGGACCTTGCTATTTTCCTTTTGTTTCATCTAGTATTTCTTTTTTTTTTTTTAAGAGGCATGTATTTTTATTTGTTTGTTTGTTTGTTTATACATGCACTGGGTACAGTCAGAAGCATGGGAGGGTGAGAGAATTCACCAGAGCCAGAATGGGGAGCAGAGCAGGCAGAAGGACCGAAGTACACTGCTGAGGGGAGCAGTGGGCGGCAGGAGAGGTCTGCGCGCCATGCGGGACCCTCCTCTGGTGGCCGGGGAGCAGCCGGGGATCGAATCGGCGCTGCAGAGGCTGCGGGCAGCTTCGCAACCCAGCGCTCAACTGCTGCGCCACCAGGGAGGCCCTTCATCTAGTATTTCTATCTAATATCTCCTCTCTCTGTTTTGTGAATAAAAATTTAACTAAGATTTTACCTTCATCATAACATTTTATGTTTTAATAGATTGGTCAACAGATTCCTAGCCCCAAATTTCCTGTAGGCTTAAATTCCTCCATCACAGATCCTAGTGATGAAATGAATGAAAATACACCTTTCTCATGATTTGAGATTTGATTGGCTGCTGCTTTCTGCATCTCCTTCACTCATTAAGCCTAGACTGGCCTTGAGAATGATTCCGCTCCAGTTTACATATTAATATGTAAATATGAAAAAATAGTGAATAATAGCTATTATCAATAACTTGTGTGCTTTTTAATGGAAGATATTAGGGATATTTCTGCAAAAAGTTAGTGGTGATATTTAACAAGTTCTAGAATGGGGTGAATAGTTGCATTCTGGCCCCTGTCAGCAAAACTTCACTGCTTGCAGTGATTGTATTGTGTATTGTGGGTATGAGATATTGTGGGAAGCTATAAGTTTCTTCATGAAATAATTTTCAGACAACACTGATGGAAAAAATTCAAGCTGAGGGTAAGACCCTGTGAGAGGGTCTTCAGAATAACAGGGAAGGCAGGCTAGAAGATTTCAGAGCTCAGTACTGAACTATTGAAAGACTCAAAGGACAACCATCTTAATGGTTGTGTGGTTAACATCTTTTGGAGATGTTAACATTTTTTGTGGTTAACCAGGTGGTGTGGTTAACATCTTTTGGAGACCTAACTACCCGGGGCCTAGATTTTGAAGTTGAAATTAAAACTAGTGAAAAAGCAAGGAAAGTGGAGGGGTGTGGGGGAAGGGCAGGTAGATGTAAGGGCAGTTCTTTGGCTGGACCATGGCCACTGCAAGGTTAGGACCCTTTATATTCTTTGCTCTGGGCCAACAAAGAGCTCCTCCAAGCTGGTAGGTAACTTTATGAAGCCCAGAATCATAGCTTTTTGTCCTTAACTTCTCTTTTTCACATGGAAAACAGTACCCAACAAGAGTAGCCCTCACACTGGAAGAACAAGAAATGGATAAACCAGTTGCTGGACTGAAAAAAATTCAGACATGGGAAGAGCTGAACTTAGAGGCACAGCTGGGTGTGTAGGAAAAATTGATGAGCTGACTTTCCAGGTGGATCTGCTTTGTAAGTGCACAGAGGAAACAAACGTGGCTACTACAGTGGGGTGTGGGGAGCCTGTAAGATGATTGAGGATTTTTGGAGGATTAATGCTATCCAGTAAAATGCACAGATCTCTGAGTGTAGAATGAGTTTTGATAAATGTCTACATGCATGTAGTGACCAACCCTACCCCCAGCAGAGGATTTTTTTTTTAAAAATCTGCTTCAGGAGCCTACAATGCCTAAGTTGAATTTGTCCCAAAGGGAAGAAGCTCTGTGTGCCCAAGAGGCAATAACGCTGGAATTACAGATTTGAAAGTTATTGGAGCCAGTTCGTAGAAATTTTAGGAACAAATGAACAACAGGGCACGAAGGGGTAATGAGCTCAGAAAGGTCCAATCTTTCAAATTTTTGGCCAAACTGAGCCCAAACACTAATATAATCAGGTGTTATTTGCCGTTTAAAGGCAGAGACTTCTCTTTTCTCAGGCTTGCAACTGCATTCCCAAAGTGAGAAAGAAACAACTTTCTGAGTTGGCTTCTTCTAAAGTCTGCCCTAAGGAACTTGGAGAATAGCCTCATGGGGGGAAGGGAGCTAGAGGACCCCACGGGGTGGTTTGCACCTCCTCCAAGCTTTATGCAAGACAACGTGGTCTCGACCTTGGGAGCTCAGCTTCCTCCGTGCAGCACGCTCTGGCAGCTCCTGCTAGGTACCTCGGAGAACACCGCGTCTTACCATCCCCCCGCGTCTCTGCACTCCACGGTGCACTTGCAGCGATTTTGCAGCAAAACCTCCGAGGTGTTTGCAGCCGGTGCAAACTTGCACACTGCTGGAGTGCCCACACCAGAGTTGGGGGTCGGTGGGCGTGTCCGAGCTCCCTGCAGCCCTCTCCCGCCTAGGCAGTCCCGGGAACATTCTGAAAAGTATCCAAATTTCTGCGACGCGCGCGCGCGCGCCAAAAGAGAAAAAGGCACAACCCCCCACCACTCTGGGCGTTGCGTGTCGGGACTTTGCCACTCGTGCTGCACCTCCAGCAGCGGCGCACACGCCTTCTGCGCCTCCTCCCAGAGAGCCTCGCCGTCGGTTGGGCACTTGCCTTGCACCCTCTCCAGATCGGAGAGGTGACCTGAGAGCTCTTGCTCCTCTCTTTGGGGCATCATGCCCAACGACGACGCATTCAGCAAGCCCTCGGCCCCGTCGGAAGCTCAGCACGCCCCGGGGGCACCGCCGCAGGGCAAGGCCGGGGGCTTTGGTAAAGCAGCTGGGGCGCTGCTGGCGACCTCCGGCGGCACTGGGGCCGGGGGCGGCAGCGGCTCCGGTACTGGGGCGTCGGGCATGGGCGCCGCGAGCAAGAAGTCCCCGCGGCTGCCCAAGTGCGCGCGTTGCAGGAACCACGGCTACGCGTCGCCCCTCAAGGGCCACAAGCGTTTCTGCATGTGGCGGGACTGCCAGTGCAAGAAGTGCAACCTGATCGCCGAGAGACAGCGTGTGATGGCCGCGCAGGTGAGTACGGGCGCTCAGGAACTGGGGACAACCCCCACATTTTTGGATAGAGACCTTTGGTGTGGCCCAAGGCGCGAGGGTTCGGGTTTGGGCTCGGAAGGAAAGAAGCAGTGGAATCGGGCGCGCTTGGAGTGCGGGGTTCCCAGGCACGCGCCAGCGCCGCTCTTGGAGAGCCTGGACGTGTCTCCAAGCGGCCCGCGCCGAGGTCTGGAGCTGCGGGGTTTGCTGCGCTCCAGGGAAGTTGCGGGGTTCAGCCGTCTGGGGTGTCCCCGGGTCCCCCTGCAGCTTTTAGAGCCGACAGTTGTGGGGACCCCGGGATCCTGGAGCACGCACCCTCAAACAAGGAATTGGGGCGTTCTCTGCGCAGGAAGGGTCCCTGGATCTCGGGCCCTGACCATAGCGGAGTTGCGGGGTTCTTTTCCAGCGGCCCCAGAATTTTTTCGATTCCCCCCAGCAAAGGAGTACCCCGGACTCGCCCTTCGTGGGTCTCCGGGATCCCCGGGACCTTTTACCCCTCCCCCCTTAGACCGGCAGGCATTTGCGTTTAAATTGGGGAGGGTATTCGCGAGCCTTTTTTGGAGGGTTAAATGGCGACCCGAGCCAGCTGCTGCTTATCCGGGTAACATGTCGGGAACCTTGTTCTGGAAAAGTCGCTGTAATGGACGCCGGCGTGGCGTGGCGTGGTGGTCGGTGCGCTCTTGGCGCACTTTTCGGCCTCGCCCCCCGGGGGAGCCCCGCTGCGCGCCTCAGCCATTTTGAGCGCAGCGGAGGTTTTAGCATTTAAAAGTTTGCTATTCGAGCACAGATTGCTTTGCATGCATTTTATTTTATTTCATTTCATTTCATTTCATTTCATTTCATTTTAATTTTAATTTATTTTTAATTTAATTTAACTTAATTTCTTGCACGTATTTTAAAACACATTAAAGAGGTTTTAAAAAATAAGAACAGGGGGAAAAACGCGGATTTGAGACTTTCCCGGTGCTTCTTAAAGCGTTTTAAAAGCTTAGTACTTTAGCATCTTAACGGAAATAGCTGACTTGTTGGTAGCCTACACTGAGTTTTAGAAGATTCTGTATGTCCTTTCCAGCTAAAAGTGGTTTCCTCTTTTTAAGACTGTTTATTTAAAATGGAAAGATATCAAAGAAACGAGCTGACGATCAACTACTTTTGACTGGGAACGTGAAATGTCTTCCACTGGAAATGATTTAGATGAGAACGTTAGACACGACAGCACACGTGCTGAAAGCATGTATACTTTTAATGTGTACAACAGTAAAAAATTGCTTAAACTAGATTTATTTTGACTTCACAGATTACAAGATCAGGGAAATACATGTTGTTTCCCTTAGTTTCTTCTTTATAGATCTTCAGTTCCATGTGTGATGGACAAAAATATAATGCATTAAAATGCATTAAGTGCATCGCAGTGAGCTTCAGGAAAAAAATTAGGACAGTTAAATTATATCTGTAAGTAGAAGAAAATAGTCTGCTCTTAGTTGGCTTAAATATTTAGTGTGGAGACTATCGGGGGATTTCCTTAAAATGTAATAAAAATACTTATCCAAGTAGAGCCTTACTTTTGAGTAAATTTCATTAGCAGAAGCACTCATGAACAAAGCTACTTGCCATGTTAAAAACAAAAGGGTGAGGATTACATTTATAATATGGAAATACATTTCCAGATCAAAAGGTTTCGTGCTGTGTTAGATGACTTCTGAAATGTATGTAACAACCATTTTTTTAGTCACCTTAAAATAGTTTGAATTTTTTCCTAAGTATATAACTCCTCTTGTGTATAAAATTATTTTCAAATTAATCAACTCTGAACTATAATTTTCCTAAAACGATACATAAATTGTAGGTTTTTTTTGGCTTGCTATGTTGATGTCAACTTTTGGGTGGTGCTTGGGCCTCAGGTGTAAGTATTTCACTTTCTCATTTCTATTACCACTAGTCAATTTCAACAGAAAGTCTCCTTTTTTGTTACATGTGGTAAGCAAAAATGCAATTTATTTTCTTTACATGTCTTTTTCAATCTTTAACAATGTTATTTAAAGGCAAATCAACTGAAGAGGGACCAAGAGAAGTTATTTAAGTGTAATAGATCCCTTTCTTCCACCTGGGATAGCTCTCCTGTCCTTTCTTCCCACTTTAACCTTTCCCTTCTCCGGGAAATCAAGGAATATCAGCCTTTATTCTCCTTTACTTCTCTACTCCACATGCCCCTTCCAGTCCAGAAGTTCCTAAGCAGCCCCTGCCTTTTCAGCCCCTTCATTCTTGCCCATCTAAGACCTATAATCCTATTCTTCAGTTTTAGTTTTAGTACCTCTGGGTGATTCCACAACTTAGCGCCCTTTCTGTCTCTGAATCTCTTCTGTAGGGTTGGTCTATAACCCTCCTACAGTGTTTGCTGCATTTTATCTCACACTGAATTAAATGTTGGTAAGTACCTTGGTATCTAATCTAATCTCCCTATATCTTGCTGGTCACTATTCCCAGTGCGGTGGCTTTTTAACACATTTTTAGAACAAAGGAGAGAGCTCATTCTGCTTCCTTTGTAATCTGCCAGTGCTGATTTCTACTCTTCAGATTGAACCCCTCTGCCTGGCTGACTGAATAGATTTTTCTGATCCTTCTGAGCCAAGACCTTATTTCCCACACCTCTGTGCATTTAGCTGTTTCATGAACATTTTTAAAGCATCTACTATGGACCAGGTGATCTAGCTCTAAACTATTTCTCTGTTTTGGCTGTACATCATTGGGTAGCTTTCAAAAGAAATTAGAGCTTCTCAGCCTCCCCTTTGGAACTAATAAATCTTGATGTCTTCAGTGGTTTGGGCAAAGTGGCACAAGTGATTCTGGATTGCTGGAGAATGACCCTTTTTTTCTGTGCTTCCAGGTGGCTCTGAGAAGGCAGCAGGCCCAGGAGGAAGAGTTGGGGATCAGCCACCCCATCCCACTGCCCAGTGCGGCTGAGCTGCTAGTCAAGAGAGAGAACAATGGCAGCAACCCGTGCCTGATTGAGAATAGCAGCTCCTCTCAGCCGCCTCCGGCCAGTACCCCCACCACTGCTGCTTCAGGTAACCTGGAGGTCTGGGGTTCATGTGGCCAGGCATAGGGAAGAAGAAGGGCTGTGGTTACAGCAACAGTTCTAGGACTGTCCTGAGACACTTAGAGAATACGTTGTGTTTCTCTTTGTTTTTGTTTTTAAGCATCCTTGCTCTGAAGGTCTGTTTTGGCTGCCTCAAAAAGGAAATGGCCATAATTCTAGATTTGGAAGTGTGACGACTTCACTTGATTATTAGTCAAAACTCAATCTGGGACCTCCCCGGTGGTGCAGCACTTGAGCGCTGGGCAGCGAAGCTGCCCGCAGCCTCTGCAGCGCTGGTTCGATCCCTGGCTGCTCCCCGGCCACCTGAGGAGGGTCCCACATGGCGCTGCAGACCTCTCCTGCTGCCCGCTGCTCCCCTCAGCAGTGTACTTAGATCCTTCTGCCTGCTCTGCTCCCCGCTCTGGCTCTGGTGAATTCTCTCACCCTCCCGTGCTTCTGACTGTACCCAGTGCTTGTATAAATAAATCTAAAATCAAATCTTATTTTAAAAAAAAAAAAACTCAATCTGGATAGTCAGAACCACAGAATATCAATGGAATCAGATTCCAGATTTTGCCTCAGTCCACCCCTCCATTTTGGGTTATCTTGGCAGGGGCTAAAGATTCTGTTTCCTAGAACTGAAAGCCCATTTTCTGTGGCTAGGATGGTGTTCATATGGGAAAAGGTCTGAAAAGACCAATCCTCGGTGTCATGTTTGAAGTGTTCTAGGATGGGAGGGGCAGCATGTTCCATTGGCTTAAAATTTTAACATGTGTTAGGACTAACAGGGGTTGTATATATGCTGACTCTAGTTTTATTCTCAGAGTAATTCCATAAGGTAGGAGGTTATGATGCTATTTCACACATGCTGAGATGGAGCAAATTTAAGTGACTGGCTGAGGAAGGATCTGAATCTGCTGCCTGCTCTCAGAAGTGTCAGTGCTTACTGGAGTGAGTCCAAGTTACCTCAGGAATCCTACACTGACCAATATGGAAGCCCCTAGCTGCATGTCATTACTTAAATTAAATTTATCACAGTAAGATAAAATAGAAACTTTCAGCCAAAGAAGATATGTAAACCACAAATAAGCCCATTAAAAGATACTCAGAATCACTGATCACAAGGGAAATGCAAATAAAAATTAAAATGAGATATTACCTGATACCATGAAGATAGCTACTATTTACACACACACACACACACACACACACACGAAAATAACAAGTATTAGTGAGGATGTGGAGAATTTGGAACTTCTGTGCACCGTTGTTTGGAATATAGAATGGAGCAGCTGCTTTGGAAATCAGTATGGTTCCTCAAAAAATTAAAAATTACTCTGTTTTCCAGCAATTTTACTTTTGGGTATTTACCCCCTAGAATTGAAAACAGGGTTTTGGAGAGATTTTTGTACATCCATATTCATAGCCCTTGAGGCCCTTGAGGCCCTTGATTACTATGAGAAATAAGCCTTAGCTTATTTCTCATAGAAAGCTAGTATTGCATCATTCCACTTACATGAAGTTCTCAGAATCACAGAAAGTAAAATGGTGGTTGGGGATGGGAGGCAGGGAGAGTTATTGTTTAGTGAGTCCAGAGTTTAATTTTTACAGGTTGAAAAAGACCTATGAAAGAAATTGTAGCTATTCCACAATAAGAATGTATTTATTACCACTGAACTGTACACTTAAAAGTGGTAAAATTCATGTTAAATGTACTGTTCCACAATAAAAAATCAAAATTACAGTGTAAACACACCAATCTTCAATTGCCCTGGCCACATTTTGACTGCTCAGGAGCAACATACAGCTAAGTGCAACCATATTGGAAAGTGTATTTCCTTCTGTCATAAAGTTCCATTTGACCTCACTGAATGCTGGAGCTCTAATAAATCCACTAAATAAAGGTCTTTGAAATTCTCTTAGCAATTAAATACATGTTTTCCACTTGTACTAAATACATATGCTGAGATTCACAGGCTTCTTTAGAGCCTGCCAAGGTTCATATACAGCTTTACTGAGTGTGCCTTCTTCAGTTTGCTGGGCTTAACCCCTGGGCTGAAGTCAGTGACGAGCTGTACAACTTTGCACATGTAACTTGAGGTCTCTGGGTCTTTTGTTTCTTCTCAAAAATGAGGGAGGAAGCCTTTGAGGGTTTGCAGATTCTGTGAATCTTGACCCTTAGGAAAGAGGAGAAGGTAAGTAGGTGAGAGGTGCAACTGTAGTCGCTGCTTTGCAGGTAGGTGTGTCTGAGTGTTAGTTACTGGGGCTACAGATCCTGTAATTAACAAAGGAGATTACACTCTTTATTTTTTTGGTTTGATTGCTTATAATACAAATTTATAACAGTTTCCAAACTTTGCTTTTCATAGAAAGGAAGGAGTCTATTAATAAGAAATAAGATTTGGGCCTCCCTGGTGGCGCAGGTGGTTGAGCGCAGCATTGTGAAGCTGTCCACAGCCTCTGCAGCGCCAGTTCCATCCGCGCTGGCCTTGGAGCAACCCACATGGCAAGCAGATCTCTCCTGTCCCGCCCTCTGCTCCCCTCAGCAGTGTCTTCGGTCCGTCTGCCTGTTCTGTTCCTGGCTCTATCTCTGGTGAATCCGCTCACCCTTCCAAGCATCTGGCCTGTACCCCGGCTCTTGTATAAATAAAAAATATATCTTTGGAAAACAAAAAAAAAAGAAATAAGATTTTTATATTTTGAGATTTTTTTTAAAGATTTATTTATTTATGCATACAAGAACTGGGGTACAGGCCAGAGATGCGGGGTGGGGGGCGTTGAGAGGATTCACCAGAGACAGAATGGGGAACAGAACAGGCAGATGTACTGAAATGCACTGCTCAGGGGAGCAGCGGGCGAGTCAGGAGAGATCTTCTGAGCCATGTGGGTCACCTCCCTGGCCGGGCATTGAACTTGTGCTACAGTGGCTGCAGACAGCTTTACAGTGCTGCATCGTAACCCCTTGTGCCCCCAGGGAGGACAACCCCCTATTTTGAGATTTTAAATTCTGTCAAAAGCATCAACCCAGGGCCTCCCCTGGTGGCGCAGAGGTTGAGCACTGGGTTGAGAAGCTGCCCACAGCCTCTGCAGCACCGGTTCGATCCCTGGCCACTGGGCGAGGATCCCACATGGCGCGCAGACCTCTCCTGTCGCCCGCTGCTCCCCTCAGCAGTGTACTTCGTCACTCTGCCTGTTCTGCTCCCCGCTCTGGCTCTGGCGAATTCTCTCACCCTCCGACGCTTCTGACTGTACCCAGTGCTTGTATAAATAAATAAATAAATCTTAAAAAAAAAAAAAAGCATCAACCCAGTAAGAGTTGATAGTGGATATAGCTAGAGGGCTGAGATGAGGATGGGTAGATGTCAGAGGGATAAAGAATAACTCATTTGATGTTCACAGATATTTTAGTAATGAACTATAGAAATGACCCCTGAAAATACAGTCTTCACAAACATTTCAGGAGGCAGAAATTATTCTATGTACAGATAAGGAAGCCAAGTGTTAGGAAATGGTAAGGAAACTGCCCTAGAATGAAGTTGGTGGAACTGGGATTTAATCCAGGCCTCTAAAGTTCAACCCTAAAGTTCGTGGATTTTCCATCTTACCAGCCTATGAAGAGAGACTGGTATGAACCATCGATAGGGAACATTACAAAGAGAAGCAGCAGGAGAGCAGGATACACAGCTCAGGGTCAAGGAGGATGTGACCAGAGTCCCTCCTTTGCTGTGGAGCTGACAGACATCCGTGTCATTTTGGTTTTTTTTTTTTTTTCATTGCGTATATTTTATTTTATGTACTTCTTACATCATTTTTCATTTTTGCACAGTGTATGCATTTTCATTTTGGTTATATTCTCCATACAGTTCCACCCCCCCCCCCTTATTTTGATCCTAATTCCTCCTCTCCTCTCCTCTTCCCCTCCCCGCCCGCCGGGTAGTGTGTCTCTGGTCTATAGTTGCTTGTTGATTTTGATTTTTACTTTATTATAATTAGTCTTTTTCCTGGTCCCTTATTTAGGTTTTCTAAATTCCTGCTATGCGTGAGACCATCCGTTATTTTTCTTTTTCTTTGTGGCTTATTTCGCTGAGCATGATCCCTTCCAGCTCCATCCATGTTGCTGTGAATTGCATGAGTTTGTCTTTTTTGAATGCTGAGTAATATTCCATGGTGTATATATACCACATCTTCTCAATCCAGTCATCTGTTTTGGGGCATTTTGGGGTTTTGAACCAAGATTCAAAGGGAATGAATATGGAAGCCAGCAGTGTGCTGTGCTCAGGAGAGGGTGGAGAGGCATCACCCTGAAAGTTTTGCTGCCAAAGGAAGGTGGACTCTTCCCCAGCCAGCTCTCCTGTGGGGCAGATCCATGGTCAGCCCTTCTAGGACTTCAGCCCATGCTCTTGAATCGAGATTGATAAATTCTGTGTGCATATAAGCCAGAGAAAAACAAAATTGCCAGTGCATTAAACTACATAAATATATAGAAGGAGAAAAAAGAGAGAAGAAAGGAGGGTCTAGTGGAAGAGAAAGAACCAGAGAGACAGATGAAGGATGTCCTTCAAGCCTCATGCAGTACTTGGGGTCCAATGTGCTTAGAAAGATTACTGCTAACAAATATATAATTTATATTAATTTCCCAGAGATTAGGATTTAAAATAGTGTTTTTCAGGCAAATGATAAACATTTATAGAGCTCAAAAAATGATAAACATTTATAGAGCACACTAGCTTGCAGGTACAAACTAGTGTGTTTGCTTATCCTTTTTGTGTATCCCCCCATAGAATTGTCCCACTTATAGGTCACACTATATACTTAACTTTTTCCTTCTCATTTGAAATAGTTTAAGAACTTTTTTATGGACTTATTTTATGCATGTACAAGGCTAGGATTTGAACTTAATTGGTGAGGTCAAAGTTGTCGTGTCATAATAAAACCTACCAACTTGGCTCCCACAGCAGCAAATTGCCAACCTTCTTGATACCTACTGTT